CTATTTAAAACTACACAGAGTTGACCTTAACCAGGCGTAACTGCCTAAAGATGGTGGGGTTTGTATGAAAAAGGTAGCTATTCTTGGCTCTAAGTAAAGTAAACGCAAACTTGAGCAACAAGCGTGCTGTTGGTATGTAACGAAAGTGCAAAAGGTAGAGATTTAGGTTCGGTTAAGACCCAAGGAGCGATTAAAACCAACAATAGGAAGCATTCTCGCCTCGAAGTTATGGCACGAAACGTTACACAAGAAAAATTTACTAAGTACAACATCGGATGTAACATGTCCCATGACTATTACTGATCTTTTAGGTCTCATTATCTAATAATCTGTATATAATATACATACTAGACATCTTATTCGTGTCAAAGAAATTTTATTGTTAAGAAAGAACGCATAATAGAAGTAGTAATACGTTGATATGACATCGCATTTGTTGTCACAGTTCTTACCGGTTGACTAGTCAAGGTTAGCTGACAACGTTTTGCTGGCAATCACTTAAGTATTTGTCTCTGATCGAGTTGATTTTGTTATTTAATTAAATGAAGTTAGAATAATACAGATAATTGAAAATAATTAGAGAGCATTAGTGACTCATATATATCTATAAATATAGAAGCACGAACGATACCCAACGATAAATATAACGTCCATATTTATTGCATTCCTTAATAGTATCATTCGACATTACTAAATCTCATATTAATAGACAACATAATCTAAATCCGTCATCAACAGAGAATTCGTTTTTGGACAGAGAAACAGAAGTCAGGTGACTATCAAAATCACACCTAGTTCAAATAGACGTGGGTTTAGTTTTACATCCACGGTGGTGGTTGTTCTGGATTCCATGAACTCGCATTGTTAGTCTGAGTTGTCGTCGTGCCCCAGCCATCTGAATTGCTAGGCGCAGGAGCAGCATATCCATTTGAATAACTACTATTATAATTGGATGGCTGCTGATGCGTCACGTGGTAGTCATCCTGCTTTTGTGATGCATAGGGAGAAGGATAATTATTACTAGCATTCATTGGCGGTGGTGCTTGTGAATATTGAGGTTGCGCTGGTGGCGGTGTATACTGAGGTTGCGCTGGTGGCGGCGTATACTGAGGCTGCACTGGTGGTTGAGTCTGATTGTTCCAAACTGGATCTTGATTGTTCCGCGCTGGAGGATTATTCTGACCGTTCCACGCTGGAGCATCCTGATTATTCCACCCTGGGGCGTCCTGATTATTCCACCCTGGAGCATCCTGATTATTCCACCCTGGGGCATCCTGGTTGTTCCATGCTGAGGAATTTTGGTTGTTCTTTGTGGAGTCCTGATTACCCCACGTCGAAGAATTTTGGTTGTTTCTTGTGGAGTCTTGATTACCCCACGTCGAGGAATCTTGATTACGTCTCGCCGAGAAATCTTCATCCCTACCACCATAATTATTTCCTGTATTTTCTGAAAAATCATCCGATCCTCTACAGAAATGAAAGTTAATTTCAGTGAATCGACATAGTGATACTATTGCAAAGATATGAATAATCTCAGTATAATCGTTACGTTTCTCTTGTCATGTGATCGCGCAAAAAGTCTGGCACTTCCTGTTTGCATTCAATTAGTATCTTCACCAAATCAGCGGCAGTTGCCTCGTTTCGATCATTGTAGAATGTCGTAGCTAATCCAGGGTTTCCAACACGAGCAGTTCTATTTAGATAGAATTTGATGATGTAAATAAATGCACCCTAAGAAAAATGCATGCATGATTGATCTCATTACGCCGCTAACCTGCCTATACGGTGAATGTATTCGTCAATTTCGTTTGCCATGTCGTAATTAATGACGTGCATCACGTTTTTGATATCAAGGCCTCGCGCAGCGACAGCAGTGGCAATGAGAATTGGTGATCGACCAGACCTATCGAGCATGTTCATTATTACGCTGTTCCAGGTTTCACCTAAAAGAATACATTACTTACTTGAAGGAAGCCAGAGCATCTTCACGTTCTCTCTGTGTTCTGTCTCCATGAATGCTTGTAGTTGGAAAATTCTGATTATACAGAAAATCATCCAACGAATCCGCACCACGCTTAGTTTCGACAAATATCAAAGTACGCGATGGTGGCTGTTTCAATAATAAGTCCACAAGTTCCTTGCGTTTATCTTCATCTTTGACGTAATAAACCTATATTAATTCACAAACATGATATTATTAGTAACTATTGTTAATAACACGTGCTAATGTTTATATATATTCGGGGTACCTTCTGCGTGATTTCAGATGGAATACCGCCAACACGTCCGACTGTTAAGAATACATGCGTCGTCGCAAGGAAATCACGTGCAAGTTCCTGAATCTTCCTTGGAAATGTTGCTGAAAACATTAAAGTCTGTCTTGTACCATCTTCACGGAGATCTATTCGAACAGATAATTTAGAAGAATGACCTAAACCGAGGATCAACCTTTGTAGTATGCAAACGGTATCAGTTGCTCACCGGATCTTTGCACAATCTTGCGAATTTCGGCTTCGAATCCCATGTCTAACATACGATCAGCCTCGTCAAGAACAAGATATCTTTACATAATACAGATCGCAGAATGAGTGAGAAATGCATAATACAATAATCGCATCAAGTTTAGTCTACTCACTTAACTCTGGCCAAACTAATCACTGCCCTATTTAAAAAATCATTTAAACGGCCAGGAGTCGCAGTCAGCACATCACACCCTTTGCTTAATTCCATCCTTTGAGTTCTGACGTCGGCTCCACCATACACAACACTAGCATATAGATGTTAACGAGTGAGCAACCAATTCGCGATCGATCCATCCATCAGATTGACAAAACTTGCACTCTTCATACCAGGGTCGCATCATTGTCCTATATGTAAACCGGCGACACTCGTCGAATATCTGAGTTGCCAATTCACGTGTAGGCGCTAAAATCAGAACCAATGGTTCGACCTTGCCTCTACTTCGACCCCCGGATGGGCGGGAACTTGTAAGTTTTTTCGCCTTTTCAAATAAATTGGATAGTATGGGAACGAGGAAAGCAGCGGTTTTTCCAGAACCTAGGAACGCGAACGCCCATTAAACAAATATAAGTCCAAGACATGACGCGAACATGAAGATACTAACCAGTTTGTGCGCATGCCATTAGATCGTATCCTTCGGTAATAATAGGAATAGAATATTTCTGAATGAATTAACAGATAAATTAACCAGTTGTCATCGTTTAGGGTGTTACAAACAAAAAGAGCCTCTTGATATGAAACTATTTAATTTCATAAAGAGCTTGATCACGACTACAAAGTCGATACCCTCACATGATAAACAAGATAGAGATTTTTACTTACTTGTACGGGAGTAGGGGTGGTATAACGAGCCAGTCTAACGTTCTCTCTTATCATTGGATGAAGATTGCCCGCATCGAACTAATCGTTTAGATGATGACAGATTAGTTGTATCAACCAACTTTAGCAGGCAACAGATTTGAGTAAAAGACACCCTTACCGTTGGTATGGGTTTTATGTCCGCTCCTTTGACGTGTACTTTGATATTATTGTATTTTGAAAAGTTTATTCCAGTGTTTACTAGATTTTCTTCGCTAAACAACTCCTCTTCCAATTGCTCATCGTTGGGTGCAGTGCCGTTCTCGTAAGAATCGTCCCATTCATAGCGACGTCTACTTGAAGCCCACGGTCGCTCAGGGTCTAGGTGTGCGGGCTCGGTGGGTCTGCCCCAACCGCTAGCGCGCTTGGCATTCCCTCTGTTATCGCCCATTTCGAGAGACCAGCTAACGGAGGGTTGTCTGTGTAGTAAAACAAGAACGAATCGACAACGTCAGGTTACTACCAGGGTGGTGTCTATTAAACAAGTGACAATGTTATACAGCAGCCTCTCGTGGCGCGTGGCAAATCAGGTGCACGCTAACAAAGACTCGTACGTAGTAGTCAAGAGAATGAACGAAAAGTTGTAGAAAAAGGTTACATATTCGTATACCTTCAAGTAGATATGTCAAAAGTTACAAGGATCGATTAAACGTAAGAGGTTAAGAGTTTTTGAAGTGAACGAAGATGGATTCGCCTTTGATAGACAGGTGAAATTGAAAAGGGGTGTGCAGCAAAAGACTTTGATGTGCATATCAGTCGAACGCTCCAATTACTGTTTGAATAAACATGTGTACTACTGCGGTAAGTGGCACAACGTTCAGGTGGCGTAGACAATATTGGACAACAATGGGAATTGGGTGATTCTGCTCAAGGGAAACCGATAAAAAAGCACGCGTCGTCGATTTTTCGAACATGCCCAGATTTCACAGCAAAGTAGACAAAAAATATCAAAACGACAGGAAGAGGGCAAGTCGGGTCTTTTTCTTGCTGGTCTGATGGAAATCGCGATTGTAATTCGGAAAATGAAGTGGTAAAAATACAACATTTATACAGCAAGCAGCTTCTTCCGCAACATTTTGAACTGATAAAGCAACCTTCGATGATTGGCAATATATGCCTGCTACTACATATACTTGTATATAAATGACAACGTTCCCGCTCATGTGGGTTTTACAGAATCAAGAATCAATTAATACAATAAATATAATACTCTCTAAATGTCAATGATCGCCCCTAACTTTCTCTCTTACGTTTTGATGGCCGTGACCCCGGTTTCTCTGTTGGTGATGTGAGATTGTTAAGCTCTGCAGATAATGAAAGCATCTAACACGACACATATCATATGTCACTCACCATTTTCAATGTCATCTTCGTCCTCGTCCTCGTCCTCGTCCTCGTCCTCTTCCTCACCGCCATCATCAGGATAGTCAATATCCTCATCATCGAAATCATTTTCGTCATCGTCTTCTTCGCTCTGAAAATAACTAAAAACGGGAACGAAAATTCAGACATGTCACAAAGTCTGTACATCTGTATATCGTCAACCTCCAAATCGCTATTGTCATAATACTTACTCAAACGCCTTTGGAAATATTTCCTCACTTATGACTTTACCCAAATCCCACCCCTCATTGGCGAGTGTCTGTTTAGACGTGAACCATACGAAGAAACTTATATCGTCGCTTTCTTTGAAAAAAAAAATAGCCGTTAGAGTCAAAATTTGATGCAAATACGATAATAGAGAAGGATAGACCACTACCTTCCTCCGAAGAACTCCCACTCTTCTGCGTTATATCCTAAGATACATTTGCAAAAGTCAATAAGTCTCTTACATGAAATAAAAGGACACTGTTGAGAAACAAAAAAATGTATCCCAAATGCTATTCAAACATCAAATAGATATTATTTATACCTTTCCTTCATACCATTCAATCGGAGTGCTTTTGGTACAGTAATCTCCCTTATCGTCAAGGTAATATTCCTACGGTAGATTAACAAAACCATATACAAATATGATGATTTTTGGCAATCACAATTCAACCGTACTAGGTTATGTATCAGAAAATCAGCATGTGACAAATCTCTGCTCACCTTGACCAGCTCCGTGTTTTTAAAGAACGGGTTCGTAGAGAAGTGAAGAAAGATTTTGTAGTCATCCACTTTTTCTTCGTGCTTCTCTACAAACAGATCGGTAAGATACTGAATGATCTGGGTTCGAAGACAAAAACATAATTGTCAATAATCAATAATAATGCTCAAAGCGCTAGTGTTGCATTCAAGTAGTTACATGCCCCGTTAACATTTACCTCATCATCATCGCTCTGTAAGTATTGAGCTTAGTTAAACGAATAAGAGAATAAGGAAATTATCCAGTGAATACAAATTGGCATAAGATTAACGCATCTGTCGTTATAATGAAGACCCATTTACCGGTAAGAACGTGTTTAGCAAGCTAAGAGAAAACAGTAGCAAGAAATTATATGTTAGAAGCTATTGCACCAGATGACATTCTTAGTTATAATAATAGAGCTTACGGTTTGAGGCCAAAATTTCGGTATCTTTGCTAATATGTGTCGTCGCTTTTCGTATATTGGGCGCATTAGCTTGGTGTGTTCCTTGGCTAACGTTTGCAGAAGTCAAATTAGTATTTTATACTGTACTTCCATAAAGCTGAAGTTCGTCAATACCTTGATGCTTATTCATTTATGAGACATTTTTCAATTAAATACAAAGCTGCCATTATTTAGCCATTGATACATACCCACATGTTTTTCAACGTCTGCAGTTTTTTCTTCTATGGATTTCATCTCATTCATCACCTCTGGGTCTATCTCGGGTATGCCATTAAATGGCACTTGAGGGTCTTTGGAACTGCTAGCCATTCGAGAAAAAAATGAAATTTAACACCCGGAATTAATGTACGAGCTTTATGTATGCATCAAGTTGTGTACACAAATGTACAAATATATCTGTTTGATTGTTGCAGAAAAAGCTTATTCATATCCATTTTCGAAGCGCTTAATTCAGAAAGGGAGAAAAAAATGAGTTCCCTGTGCTTCTAAAAACCAGACGTCCTACAACGCAGATGTCGAGGTTCTTAGCTTCCATGAGAAATTCACAATCCGACAATAGCAAAGCCCATTATCGACTCTTGTCTGGTGGAAGGCTAAATAATTTAGTGTCATCTATATTTGTCATTTGAATAACGTCGTGCCTTTCAACTTGCCTTATAGTACGTGTTCGTACTCAAATTGATTTCCTTTCTTGATGGAGAATAATTTGTGCCATTTCGTTAACCAAATTTGAACCAGAAGATTCGATTTAGCTTCTCTCACATAGCCATTATCAAGGTCACCAATTTTATTACCAATCCGTTAATCTTAACAAAACTATTTATAAACAGCAATATTTATTTTCAGTTCAACGCATTAGGCGAAAAAATTACTAATGAAGAATTGCTAGCCTAATGGTCGTAATGGTCGTATAATTCGCAAAACCGCTCACTCGCAATGACCCCTCGTTATGCCAAAAATATTAGAACTATCACATACAACGTTCTTATATCAATTTGTACATCTCATCTTCTTAATGAGAATTGACAAGCCAAGCCAAATCTTTGTTAGTAGTTAATCCAAATAACTTTCCGAGTGTTTTCGCCTTCTCTTCGCTCTTTGCAACCCACGATCGGAATTTTACTCCGAACTCACGTGATTTTGTTTATTTGTATATTTGTATTACCGAATACTAATGTGGTGGTTAACGGCGGCCGATCTACAAAACGGACTTTAATCCACGAAGCCAGAGTTTATTAGGTTGTCTATAGCACATGTCCCATTAATGTGACAGATTAAGACGACATCGGCTTAAACCCCGAATTTTTCTGTTTAGTATAAATTTTTAAAATTTTTGGGAGACAATTTCCAGGCTTCATTTTGGATTTGGATTAGGATTTAAGGTAACTTTTGTTAAAAAAGAGTATACTAATATGGGCAGACTGCAACAAAACCAGACGAACGTTTGAATATGTGAGCTGAGAATTGCTAGTGGCGGATCTTTTTTAGCTTCAATTTAGTATTAGTATTAGTGGCACAGCTGTGGCCCATGTATGAGTTGCATTTTTCAAGTTATCATTATGGAAAATGGAACAGTAGCCTGATTGAAATAAACCTTTCATAACTTGATTAATACATAAATATGCTACAAGACTGTCCATTAAACCAAATCGCTCTTAATTTTTCATTACATTCATTATATCATCGCATACATTACGTCGCTTCACTTTCGCAATTTCCATTACCAACCTTACGCGATCTTGCTCGTCAGCAAGTCTTTCATCTAACAGTCTTTTCAGTGCTTCATTTTCTAGTAACAACCGCCTATTAGCGCCTTCCAACTCGTTAATTCTTTTCAAAAACGTTTCATACACTGGATTCTGCATAGATGCTTGTATTCCAAAATCGGAAAAGCTTTTTTTTTTCTTTTCTTTCTATTTGTCCACATTGAATTATCCAGTTAGTTAATATTAATTGTTTTATAAAAGACTTTTTGACTATCACCTGATTATAATAATAGTGTCTTTCACATATAGAATAATTGTCTAGAACATCAAGCATACTTAGTCATTTTCTCTGGCAGACGCATGCCGCCATCTTCGATTTACAATTAGTGTTAATGGTTGAACTACTGATTGAATTAGTTGTTAAAAAAAACCTAACCAGACTTTTCTAAAGTTTGAGAATAAACAGTTAATTAGTCGGTTCCTTATCCATTTCTGATAAATTTTATTGACCTTTGAGAAGGGCCGGGAACGAAAAAATTGCTCGGTACTATAAGGAGATGCTGATTATTTTTTTGTTATCAATTATATCTGCGACACGTCTTTCAATACGGGCTAACTAAAAGATAATCGAATACGCAAGGTAGATTTCTGGCCGAACTCGTTAAAACAGTCGTGTGTAATAAGGCGTAATCTAAAACGTACCCGAATTGAAAAATCACATGGATCTGAAGGTATATGCTTGTGGGTGTATTTCAACGGTTCTTATTCGTTTTGAAATTCTCGAGATACGGGCATCCGATTGATCTGCAAAAACGGACCCTATTTAGCTAACTGTATATTATGTAATTGAATGGTGATAAAAACGCGTCTTTCTCCGCAACAACATTCTAACATCTTACGTAAAAATGGTTGATATTAAGTTCAATATTTGAAGCTTGTGTATATTGCAAGCGTCCTGCTTTTAAACATCTGACTGATAATATATCTTATAAACATATTAATATATACGATAAAGTGGGATATTTATACCCCACTTATTTTGGACTATAACTATCCCGAAAATGACGTGCGTTTGCATTTGCCTCGTCATTCGAGTGACGTGCGTTTTGCAT